TGGCATTTTTTAAAAACATAAGCCTCGGTTTTAGTGTTGTCAAACATAGTGTCCTAACTTATATATCTTGGCACGAATGCTCGTCGCAGCTGGGCGGGAAAACCCATATAAACAGTGCAACACAAGCGAAGAGATTTCATTGCGGACTCAAAGCCAAAGGATATATGCTAATGCGATACATATACTGATGGGTGCGATTATACCAGCACTAGTGCACTGATTCCCATCAGAACTCCGAAGTTAAGCGTGCTTGGGCAAGAGTAGTACTAGGATGGGTGACCTCCTGGGAAGTCCTCGTGTTGCATCCTTTTTTGTTCCTCTTGATTCTTTTGTTTTTTTTTTTGGTGTTTTCATTTCAAAAACAAGGCATCTTCCGAAGGACGCTATTTCTAGACCGTGTGGAACCACGCCTCCTACAACAACTTTTTGGAAAGCCCCTAGAGTGCTCTCGGGCTTGCCCAAGAGTCTAAAGACCAAGGGTGCGGTTTACGAGGCCAAAATTTGAGTTTTAGACCCTCTTCTGGGCGTTTTTCTAAAACATAAGCCCCGGTTTTAGTGTCGTCAAACGTGGTGTCCTAACTTATATATCTTGGTACGAATGCTCGTCGCAGCTGGGCGGGACGCCCATATAAACAGTGCAACACAAACGAAGAGATTTCATTGCGGACTCAAAGCCAAAGAATAATGCTAATGCGATACATATACTAACGGGTGCGATCATATCAGCACTAATGCACCGGATCCCATCAGAACACCGCATTTAGGCGTGCTTGGGCGAGAGTAGTACTAGGATGGGTGACTTCCCGGGAAGTCCTCGTGTTGCACCCCTTTTTTGTTCCTCTTAAGTTTTTTTTTTGTTTTTTTTTTTTTGGTCTTTTCATTTGAAAAACAAGGCATCTTCCGAAGGACGCTATTTCTAGACCGTGTGGAACCAGGCCTCCTACAACAACTTTTCGGAAAGCCCCTAGAGTGCTCTCAGGCTTGCCCAAGAGTCTAAAGACCAAGGGTGCGGTTTACGAGGCCAAAATTTTGAGTTTAAGACCCTCTTCCGGGCGTTTTTTTAAAACATAAGCCCGGTTTTAGTGTCGTCAAACGTGGTGTCCTAACTTATATATCTTGGCACGAATGCTCGTCGCAGCTGGGCGGGAAAACCCATATAAACAGTGCAACACACGCGAAGAGATTTCATTGCGGACTCAAACCCAAAGGATATATGCTAATGCGATACATATACTGATGGGTGCGATTATATCAGCACTAGTGCACTGAATCCCATCAGAACTCCGCAGTTAAGCGTGCTTGGGCGAGTGTAGTACTAGGATGGGTGACCTCCCGGGAAGTCCTCGTGTTGCACCCTTTTTTGTTCCTCTTGATTCTTTTGTTTTTTTTTTTTGGTGTTTTCATTTCAAAAACAAGGCATCTTCCGAAGGACGCTATTTCTAGACCGTGTGGAACCACGCCTCCTACAACAACTTTTTGGAAATCCCCTAGAGTGCTCTCGGGCTTGCCCAAGAGTCTAAAGACCAAGGGTGCGGTTTACGAGGCCAAAATTTGAGTTTTAGACCCTCTTCTGGGCGTTTTTCTAAAACATAAGCCCCGGTTTTAGTGTCGTCAAACGTGGTGTCCTAACTTATATATCTTGGTACGAATGCTCGTCGCAGCTGGGCGGGAAGCCCATATAAACAGTGCAACACAAACGAAGAGATTTCATTGCGGACTCAAAGCCAAAGAATAATGCTAATGCGATACATATACTAACGGGTGCGATCATATCAGCACTAATGCACCGGATCCCATCAGAACACCGCAGTTAGGCGTGCTTGGGCGAGAGTAGTACTAGGATGGGTGACTTCCCGGGAAGTCCTCGTGTTGCACCCCTTTTTTGTTCCTCTTAAGTTTTTTTTTTTGTTTTTTTTTTT